GTCGACGCCCCTAAGCAGGAAACCCCTTCAACGGGAGGGGGCCCATGCGGGCTGCAGAGGGGCCAAGAGGAGCAGCCAGAGGGCCACGAAGAGCTGCATCGGTGCCACGACGGTCAGCGAAGGGGCCACGAAAGGCGACCGCGTGGCCACGAACGGCATCGATGGGGCCGCAATGGGGCGTTCCGAAAAGGGCCTTGCATAGAATTAAGTTGGGCCTGTCCCTAAACAGGAGGCATATTCAAGAATAGTCAAACAATAGTCTGGGGACTATTTGGGGGGCATCTTTGTATCATGTTGGGGCATTTTTTGGTTCTGTTTTGCCCCAAATCCACCTGTATGGGGGACACAGAGGCCCGACCTAAGGATAGAAGGAGTTGTCATTTCCTTCTCGGCGGAAGGTCGGCGGAAGTAACGGAAGGCCGGCGGAATGTGGGAGAAGTAGAGTTAAACCTCACAAGAGGTGACATTATTTTTGGGTTCAGGGTTTCGGGAATCGGCCAAATAGGGGCGCCACGAAGAGCATCGAGGAGGCCACGAAGGCAGCGGCGGGGCCTTCAAATCCGACTGCGATTTCGCGAAGGGCAGCGAGGGGCATCGGAACGGGCGAAAAGCAGCGAGGGGCGATTGCGGGCCTTACCGGGCAGGTCAGGCGGGCGGGTCGAGCGGGCGTGTCGCGAATGCGTGAGTCTTGCACAATTGCCGGGAAGTTTCGGGCGAGAGCGCGATTGCCAAGTAAATCCGAGAGCGCAATTCTTGAATGGCGAGAGCCTGGCGCCTTAGTACATAGCAAAGCCGTTTCAGGCGGGAGCGCGATTCTCGAGTAAATTGCGAGGACGTCCCATGCGGGAGCGGGGGGGCCCAACAAATTGCGGGGACGGACGGTGTCAGGCGGGAACCGTTGTTATTGGTGTTGTTATTGATGTTGGTGCTGGTGTTGTTGTTGTTGTTGATGTTGTTGTTGTTGTTGTTGTTGCTGCTGTTGTTGTTGTTGTTGTTGTTGTTGTTGTTGAATTCTCACTTCTGCAGAGTAATTATTGTTGATCCCCCTCACCGGTGCATGCGCTTTTTCTCCATATCAAAGTGTGCCCCTCGACGATCGCACCCTTTTTTTTGTCAGGGAAAATCTCGGTGCTCGAACTGTGCCCCTAGCCCCCCGGATTACAACAACAACAACGGCTCCCGCCTGAGACTCCCTCCAAATTTACCCAGGACCCCGCTCCTGAGACCTGCTCACAATTTACTCAGGATCGGTGTTCCCGCCTGTGACTTCCTCGTAATTTAGTCCGGACTCCCGCTCCCATTTGAGACGTTCTTTCGATTTATTGAGCAAAGGCGCTCCCGCTTGAGACATCCTCGCAATAGAATCAAGATTTCCTCGCAATTTAATCAAGACCCCCGCTCCCGCCAGAGAAGCCTTCATTTTATTCAGGCATTGCGCTCTCGCCTGTGACTTCCATGCAATGTATTCAGAAATCGCGCTTTCGACGCTCAGGAAACACGATGCGCCAAGGACGCCGCTACAATGTACTTAGTAATCGCGCTCTCGCCATACTCAGGCATCTGCTTGAATGTCCCACCCGCCCGACCCGCCAGTCAGGGGATCGCCCGCCCATCGTGGGCTTCCGCCTTCAGGAACGGCGCTTTCGCCTAGGACTTCCTCGAAAGTTCACGCTCTTACCTTCCTGCTCCTCATCCCTCTCCCTCCTCCCTCCTCTCCTCCCTTCTCTCTATTTCGTCTCTTCCCTCATCATCATGCCTCTCTGCCCTATCCCCTCTGTCTCCTGTCCCTCCTCCCTTCTCCCTCCCCTCTCCTGCCTCCTCCCTCTTTCTTTCGTTCTTGCTTTGTTTTGGTTTCTCTCTCTCTCTCTCTCGCTCCCCTCTCTCTCTCTCTACCTCTCTTATCTGTCTTCTCTCTCTCTTTTTCTCTGCCTCTACTCAACCGCCCCCCTCTTCGCTTCTTCTCTCCTTGGGTTGTCCCTCTTCCTTCGTCCCCCCTCCCTTCCTCCTAATCTCCCTGGTTATCCCCCTCCTCTTTTTGCAGGACCAGAGACATGCCAATGGCGGGCACATGTACGCCCACGAAGGATTGTCCGCCCGTTCAGATTTGCCCGCCTGTCTAAGCCCGCCGCCCCCTGCAAAGAGAAATAATCCTCCCAAAGGGGTCTGATCGAAGACAGAAAAGGGCGGGTATCGAGGGTGTGGGGAACTCGTTTTGAATGACACGCGGGCAAGTAAGAGCGAACAGTCTTATAATGATTGTTGTTGCTGTTGTTGTAATTGGTGGTGCTGCTGCTGTTGCTGTTGTTGCTGCTGAATTTTCAGTCTAGATAACAATTGCTGTGGATCCCCCTGCCCGCTAACCATTGTATTTGTCAAGTGTTTCTCCCAGGGCTAGCACCCAGTTTGCTGGTAAGGAAAAGCGTGGTGTCACCAAACAGCATTGTTGGGCCCCGAGCACCCACCACCACCACCACAACAACAACCCGCATCGTAAGTCTTCACAACGTATGGAAGCATCACGCTCTCGCGCTGGACTCTTGTGCAATCTACGCAAGTATCGCGCTTTCGCGTGGGACTTCCTCACAATTGTTCAGACGCCGTGCACCTGCTCGACACTCAGGAATCACGCTCCCGCTGTGGATTCCCCCACGATTTATTTTGATATCGCGCCATCGCTCGAGAATCCACGCGATTCATGCAGGACGCGCGCTTCAGCGGGCGCGCTCAGCCGGCACGGGGGACTACCAGCGCGCTGCGCAGATCAGAGCAGGCGGCGGCTTTCCCGTACGCCGGCCGCCTCACCGCAGAATGCCCGCGACGCGGTCGGGCAGAAACATTGCGTCGAGGAGGCGGGAATCTGACCACCATAGTGAAGGCAGGCAATTGGAAGTGCGGCGCATTCCGCGCGCGCCCAAACCAGCCTGCATCGGAAGAGGCGACGAGTGGCGAGGGCATGGCCCGCCCCGCCGGCGCTGGCCATGAGGCTGCGGGCCATGCGCCCGCAAGCGCTGTCTCTCAATCGTAGCCGCGCGCTCCGTCGCGGCGCGCGCCCGACGACTGACGTCGTGCCTGCTGTGGCATTGGGGTTGTTGCTGCCTGGCGACGTCGTCGAGGCGCGCGCCGCCGGGCCCCCCCCCGTTGGCCCAGCGGACGGCCGCGCCGCCGCGCCCATTTCTCAGGAGAATGTTGCTGCGACCGCGCGACGGGCGCCGAAGAGCGCAGCGCCCGCAGCGGTGCGGCGGTCGAAAATCCAAGCCGCGCAGGATGCTCGCGGGCTCAACTGCCGAGGCCGCCAGCACGTGCACCCGCGCGCCGTGGATCGAGCAACGGCGCCAGAGCGCGGCGCGTCGCCGATGCGGCAACAAGCCGCGAAACGCGACTGCGGGGGAGGGCGGCGCGCTGTCAGAGTTGCTCGAGCAGCCGCAGGCAACGGCGGAGAGGGAGCGCGCTTCTCCAGCCGCCGCGCCGGCCAGCCGTCGAGGGGCGCGCCGGCACCGCTTTCCCAACCCCTCGGCGGGCGGTTGATCCGCTCGACTCGCCGCCGCGCCCATTTCGAAGGAGAGGGTGCTGCGACCGCGCGGGGGGCGCCGAAGAGCGCGGCGCCCGCAGCGCCCGCAGCGTTGTGAATCGCCGATGGAACACGATCCGGGGTTCGCTCCCATGGTGTCCGGTTTCCCGATTCGGCGCTAACGCGTCCTGGCCATTCCGCGCACGTCGTAAAAAAAAAAAAGAAAAGGAAAAACAAAGTCGCGTAAACAGAACTAAGTGTCGAAGGTCCCCGCGGGTTTTCTTGGATCCGCGTTGGGCCCCCCTGGGTCGGCGCCGCCCCTTGGCGCGCTCCGCGCTTTCTGGTCGGAAAGTTGGCCGTTGGATGCTGGATGCTAGAGGTCGGGGCGTTGAGCTGGAAGTCGGGAGGCTGAGGTGGAGGTCGGGACGCCAGCCTCTCTTCGCACTGCTGGCGTGGCCTCGCGTGGCTGCTGGCTGGCTGGTTTTACGCGCACCTGCGATGCTGGACGCGGGGCGGGGGCCTCGGGGGCGCGCTGCCATGGGTTCGAGGCTCCTGGGGCGCGCGCCCCAGAATATGCGGGCGGATCGGCGGCCCTTCGAGCCGAATTCTCAGGAAACGATCGGAGGTGGACAGACCTCCTACCCTGACACGTCGATTAAGGAATTGGCCGTTTTCGGTTCGCGAGAGGGCGTCGCGGCCGTCATTTTTGTTGGTCCAGGTCCGTCGGTTTCGGTCCCAGGCCGTTTTCAGTAAGGGGAGGTCTACTACAGGGAGGTTTTTCACCGCCGAAACGACGGGGCTGCCGAGCAGTGCCAGGAGAGACGAACACTTCTGATTCGGAGGGAAGGGCGTTCTTGGGCGGTTTCCGCGGGGTGGATTTGTGTTCTGGGGCCCCGAAGACGCAGAGTCGTTTTTACTCGCGAGCGTTGTGCTCTCGGGGGCGCGAGCGCTCCGTAACCTGCTCGGGATTGCGCGGTGTCGGGGGGCACCAAGGTGTAGTAATCTACAGGAAGGATTGTGGCCTCGAGGGGTTGTGGCTTCGGGAGCGCGAGCATGGCGTCATTTACTCGGCCGCGCTGCTTCGGGAGCGCGGGCATGCCTGCTTGGGGGAGCGCAACTGTTGTGCAAGACCACGAAATGTGGCTTGAAGAACGCGAGCCCGTCATGATTTACCAGGGTGTGAGGCCTCGGCAGCGCGGGCTTGGTGTCTTTTGTGCGTCCCGCGGCACCCTGAGGCAATGGTGTCTCGGCTGAAGGGCCCGTTTGGTCCCCCCGATACGCGCACGCCAGTCCTTACAGCAGCGCAGCTAGAACCTAAGGGAAATCGTATTCTAAATCACCTGCGACGTTGAGCTGGCGCACGGATCGGCCCAGCCTAGCCCACGCCGCCTGTTGGCCCCCAAGGGTGCCGAGAGGCGTCGTCCTCCAATGACGCCTCTTCGTCTCTGTCGCTCGAGCGGGCCCGCGCGAGCCCTTGCCAGCGGCCGCGCAGTACGGCCAGCTGCCCCGCGTCTTCCAGCTCAGCACCGCCCAGCTGGGACCGGGACAGCCGGCCGGGCGCCCAGGCATGGTCCCCGGCTCGCCGTGCGGGAGAGGCGTCCCGATCGGGGGCCGATGGATCGCCACCGCTGTCCCGTCCGCGTACCGCTTGCCGGGCCAGCATGTTTTTGGGCACAAGCCGCGCCGCTCCTCCTCCTCCTCCTCCTGCTCCTCCTCCTCCTCCTCCTCCTCCTTCTCCTACTCCTCCCTCCCACACTCCTCGGATGGCTTCCCCGCTTCCTGCCAGGGGGGGTGGGTGGTGCACAAAAGCCGTGTCCCCAGTCGCTCCGGCGTGGTGTACAAGAGTCGCGCCCCCACCCGAGACTCCTCTTTTTTTCCGGCGACGCGCACGCGAGGAGGATCGTCCAGGCGAGGATGTTCTAACGTTTTCGTCGTTCCCCAGAAGGGTTTTCTGGCGCCGGGGTGCTTTCCGGCAGCCGCGCGTTGCCGAGGGCGTTCCGCGGGTGCCCAGATCGTCCGGAACGGCCGCCGGAGGCCCGATGTATGGCCCGACAGCCAACAGGCTGCCGGCGCGCACGAGGTGGTGTCGCGACGGGGGCGGCCTTCTGAGAGTGCGTGGGGCCTCTCATAAATCGTCCTCCTCATCCACCTCATCCTATTCCTCCTCCTCCTCCTCCTCCTCCTCCTCCTCCTACCCTTCCTCCTCATCCTCTTTCTTCTCCTCCTCGTTCTCCTCCTCCTCCTCCTCCTCGTTCTCCTCGTTCTCCTCCTCCTCCTCCTCCTCCTCCTCCTCCTCCTCCTCCTCCTCCTCCCAGGAGGGGCTCTGGAATTCCAAGAGGGTTCCCTGAAAACCTGGGGGGGGGTCTCAGGCAGACGCGCTCCGTCAGAAGACCCCCGCTTCCTCAGAAGGCCACCCCCCTCGCGTCGCCTTCTCGCGCGCGCGCCGCCAAATTCTCGGGCTCCCATCCCCCGCTCCGCGGTCAGTCAGGAGCGAAGCACGGACGTACGCTTCGGTCGGGCTTGTCCCCCTACAGGGGAATCTTGGACGTAAAATGAAAAATAGTCAACACCAAAAGGGTCAACAATAGTTAAAACAAATTGTCCCCGGACTATTTTTTGACTATTTTTGAGTCTTCTTGCTGTAGAGGGACAGGCCCGACTGAAAAGCATGCGCACGTGAACCCATACGGGCCTCGAGCGAACGCATATTTGCGCCAGCGTCCAGGGGCACGAGGGGCGGCCTCGAGAACTGGAGGGGGGAGTTGGGCGTGCGCGGCGCGACGGGCACGTCTTCTCGGGGCTTCCTGCGTGGTGGAGATAATCGGGTACGTATGGCCAGGACCCTGGGCAAGGGGACCCGGTACGTGGTAGGGCCCTGGAGCCCCCAAATTGGCCAGGATCACTAAACCAGGTTTGCCATCGTTGGTGTCTTTTCGGGTGACGGCAGTTCCGCTCAGTGGAAATGGGACGGGGGGCGCCCCTGGCACAGATCACTAATCCAGGTTCCACTCAACCCAGTTCTGCCAACGCCCAAGATAAGCGCAGGCGGGTTGATGGAGTGGGAGCGGGAGGCTGCCAAGGTGAAAGGCGAAGGTGGCGAAACCGACGTTGAGGAGGAGGGCGAGGGACAGGGAACGGGAGGATTGGGAGGAGTGTGGAGGAGGAGGAGGAGGAGGAGGAGGAGGAGGAGAAAGAGGAGGGGAAGGAGGACTGCTCACCAAAACGATGTGGGAGACGAAGTCTACATGCAGGACGGCGATGACAATGAGAAGCAGGAGGCGGACGAGGAATACGTTTACGATGAGGATGAAGATGAAATGATGATGCATGAGCAGGAGGAGGAGGATGAGTAGGAGGAGGAGGAGGAGAAGGAGGAGAAGGAGCAGGTTGAAGGCCATATGCGGGATCCAACTCCCGCACTCGGGGCCTCGGGGCAGCGAGGTTGGCCTCGGCCCACACGGCCCGTCGCCGCGTGATGGCGGAGCGGAGGTCGCGGGCGCCAGCATTCCACTACGGGAAGGGCTACGCGACCATATCTGGCCGCTGGAGGCCGATGGCAGCGCACGCTGTGGCGCGCGGGCTGGGGTACGACGCGCGGATAGGCGGCTACATTACTCAAGAGGACGTCGCCTTGGTGGTGAGGCGCGCCAACCATTACGACGGAGCGTCACGAGGGCGCCACGAGGCTGCAAGCTACAAGGAGCTGCGTAACAGCCAGCCTGAGATGAATGCGTCAACGACGGCGCAGAGCAGAGCGAGGCTGAGCGACAAGGCACGAAATGGCTGAGCAGAGCGAGGGGGTAACCAAGTACAGCGTCGTGGAGACACGGGTGGACCACGAATGTGCCGCCCATGACGAAGACGATCACGTCGTCTACAATGGTTACGACGAGCGCAACGGCTACGACGACTACGCCGCATGCGGTTTCCTCACGCCTCAAGCGTCATTGGCTCTGTCTCGAGGGCCTCCAACAAAGCTTCGATTGAAAAAATGGAGCCTCGAAAACTGCCAGTTGGACTTCGCGCTGATTTACTAGCGCTACAATCAGGGCTTCGAGGACCACCAGCCGAGCTACTAGGGCCAGCAGCCGAGCTACGAGAGTAACTAGCTGATCTCTGCGGGACAATAGCGGAGCTACGAGAGCCTCGTGAAGAGCTACCAGGGCGACGAGGTGATTTGCAAAGGCCACGAGCAGAGCTTCGACGTCAACGAGTTTAGCTACGAGGGTCGCGAGAAGAGTTTTGAGTGCCCCGAGCTGAGCTACGAGAGCCACGAGCAAAGCTACGAGGACCACCAGCGGAGCGACGAGAGCAACAAGCCAAGCTAGGAGAGCCACATGCAGAACTAGTGGAGCCACCATAGCAAGCAGGAACACTTGAAGATGCAGGACTACGACAAGGGGTGTCCCCGAATTGTCGGGCTTAAAGACCCGAGGCGCCACAATGACCTCGAAGATACTTTGGGCGCGTGGTATGCCACGAGGGAGCTCTAGACCGATCGGGATCGGTGGCTATGAGCGTCAATGCGATCGCCGAGCCCATCGTCAAGTGCCCGAGAAGCGGCTCGCCATCTATACCGAAAGATAGTTCGAGCTCACAAGTGTCACGACATGAGGGGGAATCGCTACGTGCTTTAGCGCTCATGCGACCTCGCAGCGCCCGACGGCCAGCCAGAGGTTGCCAAATGTCTCCTCGATTCCATGGCGATGCCATGCTCGATACAGATCACGGTCGGATGGCGCAATAGTAATTGTGAGACCGGCCTACCTGAAGCCGCAGACTACGGATACCGAGTCAGGAGAAGGAGCATGTCTATTCCGTATACAGCGCTACATACAACAAGAGCATCCTTTGTACAGTGTTAAATTTAAAATTCACCCCGCTGCTCTACTGAAAAGCCTGTCCACTGCCCCATCCATCACTACCCCTTTTTTCCGCTGTTGTTCAGAGTATTGTAGCACTGCGCCGTCCTCCCCTTGCTCCTCCCCGCTTCGGAACCTACCGTCGCCGGCGTGCTGCGGTCCCGCCGCGGTGTTGGCCCCCCGATTGCGCGTGGGGCGGCGCCGAGAGGGATAGCTGCGCCAGGCTGTGTGAGAGAGAGAACGAGAGGAGGATGAGAAGGACAAGGGCCATGGGATTCAGGAGGAGGAGGACGACCGAAAGGATAATGGTGAGGTGGAAGAGGGAAAGCGAGGAAGATGCGCAGGAGTTCGTATGACGATACTGGTAACGAGAATGATGATGATGCTGATTCTGATGCTGGTGATGATGATGGTGGTGATGACGCGGGTGGTGATGGTGATGATGGCTGTTATGCTGGTAGTGAAGATGATGCTTGTGATGACGATCGTGGTGGTGACGGAGGTAATGGTGATGGTGATGGTGATGATAACAAGGAGGGAATGACGAGACCGTTGAGAAAAATTGTGCGGATCACGAAAAGGAACGAGGTGCTTGGGAAGCCCGCCGCGCGTCCTCTTTCGCGGCCCCCTGACGGCCCCGCGGAGCCCTCCCACGCCACTTTCTGAAGAATTTCCTTCGCCCCTCCTCCTACTTCCGTTTTCCCCCCAGCGCATCGGCATTGCTGCCTTGCTCCCGGACGCCGTCCGCCGCACGCTCGTCGGCGCCGCTGGGTGTCGCCGGGGGTGCCGCAGCCGTCATCGGCCCCAGGCCCCGGCCGCCGCCGTGCCCGCCGGGGCCCGCCGAGGTCGAGCGCCACCTGCACCCCGACGCCTCGGAGCTGTACATTTCGGGCGGGGCCAGGACGACGGCAAGTCCGTGCCAAAGCCCTGAGATCTTGGCGCCCCAACTTTTTCGAACCGGGCGTTTTCGCCCAGATTCGGGCCCCAGGACCCTCACAGGTCGATCCGGCTCGAGGAATGGCGCAGACAGATGTGTTTTAGGGCTCCAGTCGCGATTTTTCGCGATGTCTCAACCCTGTCGACTCGTCGGATCTCAGGGAGCGTTCCAGAACGCCCTCAGATCGTTTTGGGACGCTTTGAGAAAGCCCGAGCGATCTGAGAAGGCCGCGGCGCTCGATGCATCCCTCAGCCTCGCCAGATCTCAGAGATTCTCGATTATTCTCACCCGATTTTGTCCTCGTCCTGGCTTCGTCCTAACATCGGCCTCCTTGGGCGGCACCACCTGTGCTGCGAGGCGCCGCCGGCCGCTGGAGGCGGAGGCCCCGGGGTCGAGGAGCAAGAAGGTGCATACGCAACCATACAGTGGAGACACATGCCAAGAAACACCCTGCTTGCCTCCAAGGTGCCCTGGGCTCCTTGGGGTTCGAACTGTGACGGTCCCACATCGACAGTCAACGGACTTCCTGGGGTATCAGGTTTCGTTTTTTTGTGGAAGGTTCCTTGTGGTCGAGCTCCTGATGTAGCTGCCCTGGCACTTCCGTTTCGGCAAGCAACGCGTGCCGTGTTCAAAACGTACGTGCTGACAAGTTGCTTGTTGGCTCAGCGTGTTGGCCCACGTTTTGGCGAGCGTGTCGCGCCAAACTTACGTCTTTTGTCAGTCTACGTGTTGAGCTCCGTGTCGACACGTTACGTGTTGCGTGTTGCGCATCGGGGCAGCGAAGTTGACGAAAGGTCGGCGGAAAGCGGGTTTCTGGGATCGGGGTTCTTGGATCGGGGTTGGGCCTCCCTGGCGGCGTCTTCGGCGCCGCCCCTGGCCCGCCCCGCGCGCCAGGGAGGGCGGGGGAGGGTTCGGGGTCGGCTCGGAGTCCGACGTGGGGCATCACTGGTTCAGGCCAGCAGCAAGGGGGGGAAGGCTTTGTGTTTCATTACTTTCAAGATCCCCTGGGCGGATCTTGACTCGGGTAAGCGGCGCGAACAGGTTAATCGTATGGTGAGCGCGCTGGTTGCATAATGGGCATACAGATACACATACATAGATGCATACGTATTTATTCCTGAGTATATACCTGCTTATAGACACATGAAAATGAACATATGTATGCACGTGTGTATGTGTATGTATTACGTGTATGCATGCGTATGTATGAACACATACAACACATCAGCTGAAGACAGAACGCTTCCCCGAGGCAAGGGCCTGAGGAGGGCAGCTATACATGTATCCACCTTGTTGCTTCCCCTCCCCACTCCCAGGAAGAGCGCGCCCTATCTTAGGAGAAGGGGGGAGCGAGGGGGGGAGGTGGACCAGTAGAACTGTGCGACTTTAGAAGGGAGCCGCGCCGCGCCTGACGCCTCGGCAAGAGATACCCTCCTCGGCCCCCGGCCTCCTCCAGCCTCTCCGAGGCGGCGACGCCGCTGCCTCCGCAGGCGCCGCCGAATGCCAGAGCGAGGCGGCAACCTTGCATCGTCGTTGTCGTCGCCCTCCTGTTTCGTTTCTCTTTTGCATCTTGCCCGCCTCGTCTGTAATAAGGATACGTGCGGGTTCTGAGGGAAACCGGTCCTGGCGCTTGTCTTGCGTTTTTTGGCTCCCGGGGCCCTCCTAGGGCCCCAGGACCGTCGACGAACGACCCGGGATGAAGGAAACTTGTCCTGGAGAGGACCCGTTTTACACAGGACCCGTTTTTTCATGTCAATTCTTGTCCGTTGTCTTCTTTGCTGTTTTTTCCCTCCATGGGCGTGTGCTTTCTCGGCGACGTCTTATGAGAGGTTCTCGGCTTGCCTAGGGGTCTCCAGTCGCACGTCGTGGAGCTACCGACGTCCAAGAAGGGTGTACGGACCAGAGTGCGTGTGTGAATATTGTGGTCGTGGCCACAATATTTCGCAGATGTCATGCACCCAGGTATCATATACCCCTTCTGTTCTTTCAACACGTCCCCTGACCGCTCCTTGAAACTGGCGACAGCTACACGGGCGGGAGCCTCCCCCCCAGGGAGGGCGAGACCTTGCTCCGGATACGCCTCACAAGCCACTCCGTTGGTTCTCCCAGGAGCCCACGAACATGTTCACAGTTGCGCAGTTGGCAGCCCCGAGCGAGGGCGAGATCCCACCCTGGTTTCCACGGCTTGGCTTGGCTCTGTGTTTGTTCAGGTTTTCTCCGGTTCGATGGTTCCGTACTTTGGTTTTCTATCCCTTCGTCGTTCCCACGAAGATTTCCCAGGAGACGCTTCATGACTGCTTCCCTCGCCTCCCCTTCCTGCTTTTGTCGTTCTCTCGGGAAACAAAAGTAATGGGCCTATTTTCCACCACCACCACCATAAGTTGGAGGGTGGGGTCCTTCTCCTCCTCCTCCTCCACCTCCTCCTCCTCCTGCTCCTCTCCTCCTCGTCCTCCTCCTCGTCCTCCACCTCCTTCCCCCCTCCAACTTATGGTGGTGGTGGTGAAACACAGGCCCAGACTAGCCACATACACATGAACTTCGGAGGTCCGCGCTGATTTCTTGGATGGGCTCGCGGCGCCGGAGGCACCGCCTGGGGGCCCCAGCGCCGATCCTATCGGGCCTCGAGAGGCGGGGGTCAAAGCGGGTGTCAGTCAGAGTGTGGTATTTTTGCAGATCCTGCGGAGCAAGGGGTGCACTGACCCTTGGCTTGCGTGCAGGATCCGGCAGGATTTTGCAGGATCTTGTGCAGCCCGATTGGCCCAGGTTTGCACTGACACGGGTCAGCGGATTTCCGATCGGAGGAATCTGCGCGGATTTCCGACAGTTTCCGTTTATGCCATTCTTCGTTCCCCGATCGCCATCGCCTCCCCATCGCCTCCCCATCGCCTCCCCTTCTCCCCATCGCCTCCCCTTCCCGCCTCTGTCCTTCTCCCCGCCTCCCCCCCCCAGCCTCGCAGGCGACGTCTCGACACCATACCGCGGCTTTGCCACAGCAGATCAAGCCGATCCGCAAAGGAGGGGAATTCCGTGATGCACCCCAAGGGCCCAAGGGGGCCACTCGGACGCAACACTACCGAGGGTGGACGCCTCCATGTCATCGTAGGTCCCTGAGCTGTTGCCCCAAAATTGTGGCCAATTCGAAGACGCCGCGAAGTCGGTAACAGGGGTCGAAGTACCCCCTTACTGCGCTCTCCTCCATTTTCTCCAGCGTTCTTCAATCCGGCATGCCGACCTTTAGCCTCCAGCATCCGATGTTCCACTTCCACCTCCACCTATCGACCTCCAACACCTCCTCCAGCTCAGGACCCCGACCTCCAGGGACTCCAGCATCCAGCATCCAACGTCCAACTTTCGACCTCCACCTGCACCTATAGACCTCTACCCGTGACGTTCCCCTCCTGCCGCTTCGGCCGCTCCTGCCGAAGTTCTTCGTGCGGTGAGTGTCCTCCTCCCCCGCCCGCTTTCTGCGGCCGCTCTCCTCCCTCTCCCCATCGTGCCGTCAGACAGTCAGCACGCCACCCGCTGGGCTACCATGAGCGCGCGTGCGGATTGCCTCGTGCCGCGCCACGGCGCAAAAAGTGGCGTTCCTCGTCGTTCCTTCCCCCCTCCTGGGTGGAGGCCGAGGCTCGGGCCGGACATAAGGGGGGGGATCGGGAAAGGGGGGGGGACGAAATTTGCTGCGTGCAGCTGGTTTCGGCCCCTCCGCCGGGCCCAGTCCTCGATACGTGGCCGCCTTCTGGCGCCGGGAGGCGCCGGGAAAATCAGCTACGTGAGCTGACTCTCAACCCCCCCCTTTGCTATCCCCCCTTTCGCCCAGCCCGAGAGGCGCGGGCTCAGCTCAGCACCCCGAGCTCCACCAGCTCAGCGGCCCGACCCCCGGCAGCCAGCATCCAGCGTCCATTTTTGTCCCCCCCCACCCGCACCTGTCGGCCTCCGCCCGTGAAGTTTCCCTCCCCATATTCCCTCCTCCTCCTCCTCCTCATCCTCATCCTCCTCCTCCTCCTCCTCCTCCTCCTCCTCCTCCTCCTCCTCCTCCTCCTCCTCCTCCTCCCTCCTCCTCCTCCTCCTCCTCCTCCTCCTCCTCCTCCTCCTCCTCCTCCTCCTCCTCCTCCTTGGGTGGATGCCGATGGGGGCGCGGGCTGGAGCCCCGCCGGCAGGCCCGAGCCGCGGGAGCGGAGGAGCCGGCGGCGGTCGAGCACGACCTGGAGATGTCCCCGGGCCCTTTCGGGGGCCGTCAACTCCGGGAGCCGGGAAGGCTGCAGGAGCGAGAGCAGAGGGAGGAGGATCGACGATCCAGCAGAGGTGGATCGAGGCGGAGGAGGGGGAGGAGCAGGATGGAGGGGGGAGATCGTGGAGGGGAGGCTTCGAGGCTCGAGGCGTCCGGACGATCTCGTAATTACGTGCTTCTGGAGGTTTGCCTCAAACCGTGCTTCGCTGGGAGAGCATTCCGGGGGTGGCCCAGATCGGCCCGAGCGGCCCCCAGAGACTCTCGAATTGGGCGTCACGTAATTCCAGGAGGGAAAAAAGCACAGACACAATTCATCGTCGATTCCCCGGAAAGTATGCGAAAATCTGGGAAGTGGGGGGGAAGACGAAAATCCAGGAAATATTGAGAAATATGGGGAATCCTAGGATTTGTGTGTATTTATTTGTCGGTCCCTGGGCCCCTTCGGCAATGGGGGGTGCTACATGGGGCGGCAGCGAGGGCTGCAGAGAAGGGGCCCTGCAGGGCTCCCAAAGGGGCCCTAAAGGGGGCCCTAAAGGGGGCCTTGAGGGCCCCAGTTGTGCATGGCGGCGCCAGAGGGCCTCGAGGGCCTCTGAAGGCCCTCATTGGGGGCCTTTCAACCCGGTTTTTTGGGGGGGGCCTTGATACAACCACTTCAAGTTTTTTGAGGCTTTTAAGGCCTTGAACGGCTTCTGGGCCTCTGGCGGTATTTGAGGGCCCTGAAGGAGGCCTTTTGGGCCTTTGAAGGCTTTCGCCGATGCATCGGCGGTGCGGCTCGATGTGGAGCCCGATTTTCTCTACGCTGGCAGCGCCGATGCGTCGCCGACGTCGGCGATACATCTCCGATGCATTGGCGATGCAGAGCAATCCGCAGGTCCCATCTACCCGGACCTTATCTCGGAGGCCTTTAGACGTACACGTCCATGAATCCACGTTGGTCTCGAGCGTACGCATGGCGCGAGCGTTCGTATCACGAGGCTGGTCTCGTAGACTGCAGGGGCGTATTCGTATACGTGGTTAGGCGCGTACGTCCTGTTTGGGCTCCCTAGTACTGGTGGGGCAGCGAGGGGTTGCAGAAAAGAAGCCCTGTAAGTCCCTAGGGCCTTTAAAGCGGGCCTCCATGCCCCGAGAAGTGATTTTTCCCCCCTCCCAGTTATCGCCCCCATTGAGCGATGACCAAGAGGGACGTACACGTACATGAGTCAAGCGGAAGAGCGACGTTCTAGGCCTCCCAAATAGGGTCGGAGTAGATGGGGTCGGAGGATCAAGCGGCATGGCCGATGCATCGGCGGTGCGGCTCGATGCCGAACCCGATTTTCTCCACGCCGGCAGCGCCGATGCGTCGCCGACGTCCGCGATACACCTCCGATGCATCGCCGATGCAATGGCGATGCGGAACAATCCTGCGGCCCCATCTGTTCGGATCCCGTCTAGGAGGTCTCTAGGCGGCCTAGGCGTACACGTCCATGAATCCACGTTGGTCTCGGACGTACGCATTGCACGAAAGTTTGTACTGCGAGGCTGGTCTCGCGGACTGGGGGGCCGTCACCGTGTACGTGGTTGGGCGCGTATGTCTTCTTTGTGGGTTCCCTGAGACGAGGCAGGACGTCGAGGAGGAGGGAGGAGATTCGAAAGTAAGAAAAGGCTGCACTAGCAGAAACTTTCGGAGGTCCGCGCGGCTTCCTCGGGTCCGCGCTGGAGTCCCCTGGCGGGGCCTCCGGCGCCGCCCCTGGCGCGCTCCGCGCGCCAGGCAGGGAGGTCCAGCTCCGATCCAAGAAATATGCGCGGACCTTCGAACATTCGCGCATATGGCAGTGTTTGTTCCTCTGAATTCTAGACAGTTCGCGTACGCCCACCAGCCCTTCCAGAAACGATGCCCAGAGAAGTTGCCTCGATCAGGAAGTGGGCAGCACACAGAGGAAGGGCCCCCCAGTGGAGGCCTCTCGGAGCGTCTCGGGGGCCTCTTGACGACCTGGGGGCCAAATCCTTCAAAAACTTTTGGAAACTCAATGAATGTTGCCTTCTCAAATTTTTGCTTCTGATGGCCTTCCGAGGCCTCAAGATGGCTCCAAGAGGGCGCCCAAGAGCGCTCCAAGATCGCCTCAAGAGCGCTCCATGGAGCGCTCCAAGAGCGCTCCATGGAGCGGCTTGGGTGCCTCGGGGAGCCTCTTGGGGCCTCTTGGGGGTCTCTTGGGAGCCTCTTGGAGGCCTCTTGGGCGCCTCTTGGAGGCCTCCTGCGCGCCTCTCGGGGCCCTCTTGCGGCGCGCCCGTGCGCCTCTGTGGACCCTTGAGGCGCTCTTGGGAGCCTTGGCAGCCCTCCGACTTACTTAGTACTTGAATTCGTCTGGGCGTCGGCCACTGCCGGCTGACGCTTTTCCACCTGTGCCAGCGTTGTCGACTTTTCGGCGGCGCGTTTTTTTGTTTCTTGTTTTTTCTTTAGTTGCCAAGATTTCGGCATCTTGTTGCTGTGCATGCTACGCGGAGCCTTGGGAGCGCTCTTGGGACCACTGTGGGGGAGATCGATCAAAAAAGATGGGAGTTCCAACGACGGCCCCCCCTCGGGAGCCCCAAAAAAATGCGTCTTGTGCCCCTCCTGGGGCGATCGATCTTGGAGCGCTCTTGGGCGCCCTCTTGGAGCCATCTTGAGGCCTCGGAAGGCCATCGGAAGCAAAAAGGCGAGAAGGCAACATTCACTGATTTCCCATAGGTTTGAAGGATTCTGGCCTCTTGGCGGCCTCCTGGGGAGGCTCCGATGCCATTCGGAGCCGTCTTGGAGCAACTTGGGCGCCGCCTGGAGCCACCTTGTGCTATCTTGGGCCATCTTGTAGGTCATCTTGGGCTCTCTGAGGCCCTCCTGGCGCCATCTTGGGCCACCTTGGACGCCCCAACGACTTGCGAAACCCCCATCCAGGTCCAGGGGAGGGGGCAGGGGGAGGGGTCAAGGCGCCCTCCTAGATAGCAGGCCGTCTAGCTCACACCTACCCGCACAGGCGATTGATGCGCCGGTGGCGCGGATGCACCTTTGCGAGTGCACGCCGCGGCCGCCATTACCGTTACCTTGGCGCCCGACCCCACCCACTCCCGGGTAACGACCGTTACCTGGGAACGAAAAATTGAAACTGGCGCGACCCCAATTTGGAGAAAGTTTCAAAGTGCATGTTTGGCATTGCTTGGCATTGCTTGGCATTGTTTGGCATTGCTTGGCATTGCTTGGCATTGCTTGGCATTGGAACCCGAGGAGCCTCTGAGCAACGAGGAATCCGATAACCCGAGGAACTTCCGAGCAACGGGCAAAGTATCCACCCGAGGCACCGGGGGCGGGGAACCCGAGTAATTTGGGGAACCCGTAGAACCCGGGTAACCTCTGAGGAACAGGCAAAGTAGCTTTCCGAGTCATTTATTTTCAACCAAGTAAGATGTTTTAGGTATGCCTTTTTGGGGAAAACTGGTCACTAACCGTTTCGGGTTCGCAAAGCGTGACAGGCGTGACACTTCCTCGACACCACATGGGGTTGTGCTGGGGGTGGTCCGCCTCACCATCTTGTCCTCGCAAAGCGTGGCAGGCGTGGCATTTCGTCGTCATCACATGGGGGTGCCGAACGGAAAAGTAGCAGGAGAGGGAGAGACGAGGAGTAGGTAGGAGGGGCGAATCGATGGTTTGAATGCTCTTCGTGAGTGATCAGGGGCTATGTAGGCGGCTTCGGGGGTTCATCATGCTGCTCATAGTTCCTCCTCCTCCTCCTCCTCATCTGTTTTTGCTGCGACACCTCGTCCTCATCGTTGTCTTCCTTCCCTTCCTCCCATTGCCCCACTTCCTTCTTCCTGTTCCTCCTTCCTCGTGCTCCTCGTCCTCCTTCCTCGTGCCCCTCTTCCCTCCAGCCTCCTCTCCCTTACTGCCCTGGTGGAAACTCTCGGAAAGATTCCGCCATGCCCTGATGGGTACGGGCGGCTCACGATTTAGCGTTCATTCCTTCGTTCGTTCCCCCTGCCCAGGCCGAGAGGGTAACCCCGCCGCCAACTTAGTTTTCCCGTGGTCTTCGTGCCTGGTCCCGAGGCTCTGTCGCCCTGGTGAACCCCGGCACGTACCACCGGGTGTGGCTGGACGAGCCGAGCGAGCTCGTCATGATGCTCTTCTCCGCGGGGCCGTGAGGTTGCTCTCGCCGGCGAGCGCGGCCAGAAAACAAAACGCGCGGGCGCGCCTTTCTTGCCGTACAGTCAACGCGCATAGTAAGGACTAACGACTTTTTCAAGGGCACCCTTGGGTCGTTGCCTGCCTCAGCCTCTGCGGCCCGTCCCTAGCAATTTTCGCAGGCCAGTTTCTCAGGTTCCCTGGGGGTTTGGCAGCTGCCGCCCAGAATACTTCAACTTCGGCCTCCAAGGGTCTTGCGTCCTTACCACGCGTCCTTACTATACGTTTTCACTGTACACCGTCCTCGCGGTTCTTCGCGGGCGGCGCCGCCGAGTTGCAGGGGGAGGGGGTTTGGAGGAGTTCGGGACGAAGCGGGTTGGACGAGAAGCATGTCAGGAGGAAGGAAAGGGCGGGAGGGAGGAGGAGGGAAGGAAGGAAGGAAGTGGATGCGAGGAAGAATGGGACTGGGGAGGGGTGAGGGACATGAGGGGGCGATGTAGGAGGAGGAGGAGGAGGAGGAGGAGGAGGAGGTGGAGGAGGAGGAGGACCGAGATAAGAGAGGAGGAGTCGTAGGGGGGGGATGAGGAAGAGGAGTAGAAGGACGAACGGGGATCGGGGAGGACGGGTGGGAGAAGAAGGAGGCGAAGGAGAAGGAGGAGGAAGGTGGATGGGATGGGCGGAGGCAGAGGATGGTGGACGGGAGGAGGGAGGATGAGGAAGAGCCGCTGTCTCCCCTCCGCGAGGGGGGAGAGGCCATGCTCGGGCCACTCACGTCACCAGGAGGGCCTGTCCCGCCTCCTGTCTCGCTTCCTCCGTCGGTCCTCCTTAGATGCCACACTCGCGCCGTTAATGCCACCGGGAGTCCATGTCCCACCTCCTATCTCGTTTCGGCCTGTAGTTCATCGCCTCCCCCCCCGACCTCCCACGCCACTTCACCGCCACTCCGCCAACCTGATGTCTCCTCGCACCGTCCACGGAGTTGTCTGCCCCCCTCACCAGCACTGGCTGCACGTCGGGTCCTCATCTTCCCGATCCACTTCGCCGGCTCCTGCTCGGTGTACCCCCCCCCCCGCTTTGGCCCTCAGGTCTCCGGGGTCTTCCTGCTTGCAGGCCAGCAGTAGTCCTGGTGTCCCTGGGGGGTTCGATCCCTTCTCCTCGGGTCCTGGTGTTTCGTCCAGGGCAGTTTCGGATGGCCCTGGAGCCCGAAGGCGCCCTCCGTCGGAGGCCACGAGTGGCAAACGCAATTCAAGCCTCGACCCTCGAAGACAGGATTGCGAGGCTGGTTTTCATCGATCTCAACCTCCCGGGGAATCGATCTTCCCAGACCTCGGGAGGCTGTTGATACGGATATGTTCGGGGCCCCTGGGGCCCAACTAGATCGTCGTCGAGCAGTGTTGGCACTTAGGGGTTCTCACTGATCTCACTCAGGAGTTGGATGGGTACAGTCAGCCCGCACAGTAAGGATGGGCAACCTCCCCAAGGGTACCCTTGCATCCATGCCTCCTCGCTCCATCCTTCGCCGCTCTCGTCGGTCGCGTCCTTCCGAGAAGCTGCGACATGAGCGTCCAAGGCCCCTGCATCCTCATCGCGCATCCTCACTATACTGGCTGACTGTATGCCGAGGATTCGCCACGTGGCCGCCCGTTGCCGCCCGTGGGGGTACGCCGGGGAGCCGCCCCGCGGCCGCCCGTTGCCGCCTATGTGTGGGCGTGCCACGGGCTCGCCCCGTTGCCGCCCGGGGGGGTGATGCCGAGGGTTCGCCACGTTGCGGTATCGTTGCCACGCCAAGTCTCATGATGCTCCAACGAACTTGAGCCTGGATCACAAGAAAGAACAAGAAAGAGTTGCGAGCACCGAAAACGTACCGAGACGCGAGGGGGTTCACGTGTCGGGCCCTGGGAGACCCTCGCCCGACACTACTTCGACACTCTTTCGACACTTTTCGGGATGCTCGAACTTATTTTCTCGGACGTGGTCCTCAAGAACGATGGGAGCAACATGAGCCAAGCCAGTGCCCGTTGCCGCCCAAGGCCGCCTGCGGCGGTACGCCGAGGACTCGCACGGGGCAAGGAGGCCTTGTCGCGCAGTGGCCGTCTGGCGGAGCGCGCGGTGGACGCCGCGCGCGGAGGAGAGCCCGCCTCCGTGACGGACGGCGCACGCCCAGCGTCTCGCTGCCCTCCTCGCTCCGCAGCTTCCGGAAGCCAAGAATCGAGCACGCCGCGCGCGGAGGAGCCCGCCTCCGTGACGGACGGCGCACGCCCAGCGTCTCGCTTTCCTCCTCGCTCCCCAGCCTGTGGAAGCCAGGAATGACAAAAGCAGCACGCGTGGGGGTGGGGGGTCGAGGATCGCAGGAGAGCGGCCCCAGAGGTGCCCTGGATGGCCCTATGGGCTGCCGCCGCGGGCCCCGGAGGGTGCATGCCGGGTGCACGCTTCCCCCCCTCCGCGGCGGCGGCGCACGCCCGGCTCCCTCTGCGCCCCCACCAGCCAGAAGCCAAGACTGGCAGAAGCAGTTCCGCCTTCGACCGCAGGATTGCCCGCTTCCTCTCCCCCCTCCTCCTCCTCCTCCTCCTCCTCCTCCCTCCTCCTCCTTCTTCCTCCTCCCTCCTCCTCCTCCTCCCTCCTCCCTCCTCCTCCCTCTTCCCTCCTCCTCCTCTCCCCCCCAAAAGGCCAGGGCCGACAAGCGGAGTTAGAGCCTCGACCCTCGACAACAGGATTGCTCTCTTCCTGGGCCCACCCCTGAGCTCTCGGCGGCTACACACTGGGCGTGTGGCCCCTGGGTGGCATGACGTTCGCGTACTCGATGGGACTCCCAGAGGGACACGTGCAATGCGCACCCCCACCTGCTTCCAAGGATGTAGCCACAGGACGTCTCAAGAGATGCGGTCGGGCAAATTCCCCCCAAAAAGTGTTGCAATATTCAGCGCCCTCGCGGTGGCGTGGAACGACTGAGGAGGCACAGCCACATCTTTTGTACAGTGCTGCGTCTAGCTGCTGAAACTCCCCACCATCATGCCGTCTCGAACGGCAGGAGCCTCGGAGAGCGTCTGAGTGTGGCAAGCACGCCTGGCTCTGGTGCACTCGGCGTTGTCGGCCTCGTCAAGTGCGACCACCTCCGCGGCGCTCAACGGTTCGACCGTCGATGCCAGCAGTGCGTCACGACACCTGGTCCTCCGCTCGTCGCACAAGTGGTGCAGAGGCATCCATCGGCATGATGGTAGCCGAGTGTTGCACGCGCTGCACCGCCCATCGCCGATCGCGTATGAACGCATTGGGCTCTGGATTTGATGTTTGACGCGTTCATGTTTGTCTTTTCATGCTTCGCTGCTGAACGTCGCTTCACATTGCGAGAACTTATACAACTGGACCGCGGGCTCGCAGTACGCAGCATAATCAAGCACCGACCACCCTGGGGAGGCAATCACCCTGTACCAACTCTGCCAGTCCTTGACAGGGTCATTCGTATCATACAGCACGCGCTCTATTAGCAGGCGCATGTCACGCAGCATTTACAGAGTCCAGAGTACGCATTGTATTTTCGCACTTTCTGCGCGAGCAGTGCTAATAGGACAAGGGGCCCATGAGCAAGTACTCCAGATTTCGTAATAAAGGGAGGGGGGTCTCATTTCGGGGGGGTCTCTTCCAGGCTATCTTGGAGGACCTGGGGCGGTCTGGGGACGATGTTTTGGAGGGTTCTCCCACGGGGGAGGTCTGAAATGGCTTGTCTTGGAGGGTCCAGACCCCCTCCCTTTTATTACGAAATCTGGAGTAGCGCTTGACGTATTCCAATCTTCCCCTGGCAACTAAACGGTCAAGGATCGGGATCGAGCACGTACGCCGGATCTCCCATTATAGTGATTTCCTTGCCAAATTTCGAGGCACTGGGAATCTTCCGGTGCAGTCTCATCTACATGCAATCCAAGTGTTCACCAGTGTTGGGGCTTTGGACACACATGCGAACTTTATACAACAAGCGGCCTGGCACCAGAGCAAGGCCTAGCGCGAGTATCAAATGTAACCAGACTCGAGGACAAAAGATCCTTGTCGCGAGTGGCACTAACGCTGGCAGGGCTGTCGAAGCCATGTGCCTGGCATCCTGGGAATCGTTTCTGTCAGCTGTGACCTTGACGCCAATATTCTTCGTCAACAATTCACCATCGGGGCTCATGAAGTTCCTCCAGCACCGGGCGGCGTGCTGTCCGCGGAACTTCATCATCGTCTCCGTTGTTCCTTGTTCAAACGTGAGGCGGAGGTCGAGGAGGCAACATGTCAGCACGAGCAGCTCTAACAAAACACGAGTTGCTTTGACTAGCTCCAGACCCGACGCGGCTGGCATGATGATGTGCTCATCATCAACGAAGTGGCATCAGTCAGATCTTCTGCGCCATTACTGGGCGGCCTGGGAAGCCAAACAATTGAGTTGGGTTTGTTTATTCCGACTGTTACGCCAGCTGACTTCAAGGTAACGTGCAGCAACATCAGGCCAAACTAATTTACAGTTTTACACACGCGCACGCGTTCCCTTTCTGGGTAATGGCAACAGACTCAAGGGCGCCGTACGAAAGCCATAACTCAGCATGGGCATAATGTTATAATCATAGGAGGGTCAAGCCCCCACCTCTCCAGAAGGGGTCCTCGCGTGCTTCGAAATGCGTGGAGCCACTCGGCCTGCTCATCTGATGACCCCAGCGACTTGAAATTCTGAAAGGGATCGCTCGCAGCGCTTTCGCTATACCCGCATGAAAAATGTCTGACAATTCTGTAAGACGCCTGGGTTAAACCAGCAAGGAGTCTGAATATCGACAGGGCCCGCAATTGATCGATGTCTACTGCTGCCAAGGCAGTCTGGGTCGCGAAGTCGCACCCTCACCGCGGCACGGCGCCGAACGGCGTGGTGCGTAGGCATATCATGCGTGTGTCTTGTGCTTGCTACGGACATCACGAGCCCGAACACCGCATTGAGGATGCGCGCTGGAAACATTGTGCCACGACTATTGTTGCAGATAGCTTTGTCTCCCTGTCGCTTGTAAACGTCCACCATGCGGCCTCCCTTCCAGGAGCGGGGCCACGCTCGACAGTGCTCCACGTGCGCGCCTGACTCCGCTAGATTGACGGCCGCCGTATCTCCTCCAGCCTGCAGGATCTCGGTCGTGAGGCCGTCCCTCACGATACCATGGTTGCTCCTCATGCTCCTCATTCTGTTGACAAGTGCCGTTGGGGCGAATCTGCCGGCGTGGTGGGACCGCCCCCTGGGGCACTTGAGCGGCACCGTGGGTTGGAGGCCATCGATGCTATTCGCCACTGCACCTTGGAGGACGCCGCAGAAATGCTCACCCCTGCCCGGCGTTATCCGCCCATTCTGCCGCCCCTACCATCCCTCCCGCGCGCGCGCCAGGCCACCGCAGGAGCCGGACGCGGTCATCGCGAGCGCGGAGGCGGCGGTCTCAGGCGGGGGGGCGGCCGTTCGGCGACGCCGCATCCGCCCGAGGGTCGAGGATGGGTTACATTCGGTATCGTTTGGCCGACCCTCATCCCCATCCGCATCCCCTTCGGGACCCCCACCAAATTACCACCCCAGTCGGGGATGCACCCCTCGAAACCCGAAGGGGACGGCCTATATCCCCACCTAGGTGGGTACATCGGCCAGTGGGGCCCAGGCCACGCCGCTGGGGACGGGGATCGGTTAACCGATGCGCATACATGTGTTATGTTCCCAGGGCCTGCCGTGTCCAGCAAGTTGCCATCTCTTCTTGTAGCCGCCGTGGGTTCGGTACGGATCTGACGTGGACTCGTGGGTTCGACACCGATTCGAGGTTCGGGGGTCGAGGTTCGGGGGTATTGTTTCGAGGATCGAGTTTCGAGCATCAAGGTTCGGTGATCGAGTTTCGAGGATCGATTTCCGAGGACTGAGCTTCGAGGATCGAGTTGTCTTGATCGAGATCTGGGGACCTAGTTTCGATGAGTGAGCTTAGAGGTTCGAGGATCGATGTTCGTTAGCAGGGAAGCTGTAACTGGGCCAATCCTCTCCACACTTTCCAGTCCTTGCTGGCCCCCCTTTGTTTTTCTAGTCCTGGCGCCCTCATATCAACTGCGTCGGACTCGTTTCAGCCCCTACCAGTTTTGCCAGCCTCGGGGGCCGATCCATGGCCGCCGCCCCTACCCGCGCACCTTGTGCTGGACCAGCTTGGTTGCCCGGGTGGTGTACAAGCATCGTGTCCCCAGGAGATGACATGTTTGTGTTCAGCCCCTTCTCCACGGCCTTGTGCTGGATCAGCTTGTGTGTGGAAGTGTTGTGCAATCATCGTGCCCCCACCCTGCCAGTTTTGCCAGCCCCTTGTTCCTGCTCCGTGGCCGCTCTCCTCTGTTCCCCAGTTGCCTCGTGTGCCCTCCTTCAGCGCGGCCTGCTGGCGTTCCCAACGCGCCGTCGTCCGCCCTCGCTGCCGACCGACATCGGAGGAGGACAAGATATCCATACCGCTAGCCATCCCTCGTTTTGGCCTTTTTGTTTTTTTCTCCTTGGAGGCCCTCGTCGCCACCGCTGAGCTCGCCTCGAGGTTCTGGTCGAAATGCGCCTCTCTCCGGGAGTAGCGGTATTGGCAGGGGTGGACCTAAACGGTGTTTTGGCGATTTCGTGGGCCGTTTTCATTTCGACTTCGTTTTGTTGTAAAGGCGGATTCGAGACAAAAGCGAGGGGAAAACGAACACAAAAAGAAAACGATCAACACTGTTTAGGTTCAGCCCTGGGTATTGGTACCTTGTTGAGTTTACACCTGAAACGTGCATTTGCTTTTCGATTGCCCCTGTCAGAGTGAGAGGCGGCCGAGCGGTGTTGCACCACTGACAGGGGCCCTGGGACACAAATAAACAGACCCAAATAGCAGGAATCCCTATAGTTTCCCAGTTTCTGGGTTTTCGTCTTCCCCCCCACTTCCATATTTTCCCATATTTTCAGGGGGATCGACGATTAATTGTGTCTGTGCTTGTTTTCCTCCTAAACCATCCCTGGGTGCGTGCCTGAAGTGGGTTTCCGCGGTGAGGCTTACTGATGTTTGCTGTTTGTTTGTGTTGTTGTCGTCCTCGCCTGCGACCCACCCGCGACGCGCCAACGACTCGCCCGCGATCCACTCGCGACCCACCCGTTGACGAAAATTCGACGCTTGCGACGGGCTTCTTGTGCAATTCGTAGAATATCGCCGCCTGCGGCGAACTTCTTCAGAGCCTCGCAGATTCCTGACGTTGCATGTTCGATCAGGGACCCTTTGTTCACGGCAACCATCCAGCTCTCGCGCAGGAGACCGTCGAAGGCCGTCCGAAAACCGCCGAAGACCGCCAGAATACAGCTAGAAGACCGCCGAAGACCGCCCAGGACTGGTGGGTAGCAAGGGGCCCCTCGTCGAATGCGTAACCGACGACCCCGCCGCCCCCATTCGCCTCCTGCCCGCAGCTGTGAGGGGCTACTGCAGCATCTCTGGCACTTGGAAAGCGTTTAGGCCTGGCATCGCTTGGACGTGTGCATTTTTTTCGGCGAGAACCATCGAGGACCATCCCCGACCAAAGAGCAACAAAAAAACTCGCACGAAACCGGGAAACAAAAAAAAACACCCACAAAAAATGGACGTCCGAGCGATGGCGAGGTTTAGGGGCCTCCAGATGCCGCCAGGGCCTGCGGGGACCTCCAGGGACCTCCTTTCGGAGGGGCGCCAGCAACACCACCACCAGCCCTGGCCAGGCCCACACTGATCCCTGGACTGGTATATCATGTACAGACCTCCAGGCCTGGGCCAGGACGGCCTGCGCGCCAGTCAAGGGCCCAGGATGGGCTTGGCCAGGGCTGGTGGTGGTGCATTGTTTGGAGTTTTCCTACTTTTTGAGATACCTTTGGGGGCCTCTTGGGGCCGTCGTGCGTCGTCGTCGTCGTCGTCGTCGGCGTCGTCGTCGTCGTCGTCGTCGTCGTCGTCGTCGTCGTCGTCGTTGTTCTCTTCGTGGTCGTCCATAGTCCGTCGCCCGTCGCCGTCCGTCGTCCGCCTCACACTCTGCACGGTCGGTCCCTCTCGGACGACGGGGGGGAGCTCGTCCTCGTCGAGGAGGGCCGGCGGCGTCGCGAGGACGGCCTTTCAGAAGGCAGGGAGGGCCCCTGTCTTGCAGGCTCTCTGGTCCTCGTGGGGCGGCCCGGGACCGGGATGAGTCGCTGCAGAGCGTCCCAGAAGGCTATCGGGGCGCTTCAGGGCGCTCTGGAACGGCCGCGGCGCACGCTGCATCCTCGGCTCCGTCGCACCCCTGGGAGGGCGCGGGAGCCGCCGAGCGCCTCCGGGAGGCGCCCCTCGTGGCCTTCTC